TGACCAATCAACAAATCCAGGATGTCTTGCTGAACGAATACCAGATTCCGGCTTCGCTCTCGATTATTCACTTCGCGCTCGATCCACTTGGGGCTTACACCGCGCGGAACGACGCCGATACACACGAACTCATTCAAGAGCTTGTCACTCTTCTACCACAAAAAAGGCTTACGTACCCAGCAAATCGTCGACATGCTTGGGGAAAGGCATGGTTTGGAGATCTCCCAGCGCTCTCTTGCTCGACACTTCAAAAACCTGGACCTTCATCGGCGCCAAGATGATGTCGATCGCGGACTAGTCACCCTGGACCAGGTCGCAGAACATATCCGGACCTCTAAGCGCCGTCCTGACGGTAAACTCGCTGGCTATCGATGTGTTCAGAACATCCTTCGCCACCAAAATGACGTTGTTGTCCACCGGTAAGCATCATATATGTGTATCAAGATGTCTTCAATATACTGACATCAATACTTGCTCATTTCAGCAGCGTTGTTGCCGAGATGGTCAAACAGATGGACGCCGAAGGAGTCGACACCCGTCTGCGCGAATCAATCCACCGTCGCACATTTTATGTGCCCGGTCCAAACCACGCTTGGTCTGCAGACGGACACGACAAACTGAAGAAATTTGGAATCACCATCTACGGTATCATCGACGCGTGGTCCCGACGTGTCTTGGGTTTGTTTGTCCACATCACAAACAATAACCCGGCCCACATAGGCCTATATTTCCTTGAGGTGGTGAAACAACTCGGAGGAATACCTCAATGCACGGTGACCGACCATGGCACTGAAACGATTTACTTAGCCGCACATCAGATGGGCCTTATGGCCCAGTTTGGTGGGGTTACACATGAAGAAGCCTCCAAACGTCACCGATTCACGACTTCGCCCCACAACCAGAAAATCGAATGCTTATGGTCTCAGCTCATGCGCCAACACAACAAAGCGTTGATCGACATGATCTTCAACGCGCTGGAGAACGGAACGTACAATCAAGAGGACCCACTTGAAAAGTAGGTCTGATCTTTCTGCTTTGGTTGTATGCAATACCCTGTTGAAAAGTACGTTCTTATTCCAATCTAGACTGCTTTTTTTGCACCTTTGGGTTCCAATGATCCAAACGTCTTTGAACCAATGGATGCATGACTACAACTCGTACTCCAAGCGTTTTGACGAAAAAACCCAGCTCCCAACCGGCTGCTCGCCTGATGTATGTTACCACGCACCGGTGGCGAACAAAGGCGTGGAAGGCTTGATCCCGATCCCCGCAGGCGTTGTTGACGACCTCCAAGCCCAGTACTATCCAAATGCCAACGAGTTGATGATGACCTCTCCCCCATGGCTCGCCGAATTTGTGACCGCCACGCAAACTGAATTGAACATTGTTCCAACTAGAATCGATATGGACAATATATGGCCCACATTCCATAGAATCCTCGCGTTCATGCGAGCTTATGATCAGAACCTACTTGGGACTGCCCCAGGAGTCCCTCGTCCTCCAACAAATTTTGAACAGGCAAAGATTTCAATCGAGAATCGATTTGGTCGAGTGCCACATGGCAACTGATGATGTGGCAGTTGCACGCTATTCTTTAGACTATAGATTGTCTCTCACTTTAAATTTACAAATGATTAAAAAGGTTCTCAACACGCACTTAGATTTAAGATACAGAAAGAAACACAAGTTTAACAAATATTCTACTAGAAGCACAATTGTTATTCTTTCCTTGTTCTAAACACGATCCCCATTTCCATCCCGTGTATACTAGACTTGGAGCCTCTTCTTACAGTACCTCTTCGTGCACTTGCGTGAATCACTCCTCTAGATATGATTTCTTTGGAGTATTTTTTTTCTGTTGAATTCACCCCCTCTTAAAGCCCCCGTAACCTCCAATATTCTTATGGATGGAGACCAAAACCAAAGCGAGTCATTCTGGCGATGTAGAACGCCAGAATTACTACTTTTGGTTTCGATCGCCCTCAGTATCTTCCCTGATTGTGATGCTGAGGGCATCATAAGTTACCAGAAGATTAAGATCAGTCTATCTCTTGGTCTTTTGCTGTACCTACTAACGTAAGTACTTCAGTCAGACTCCAAGAACGAGGATAAAATCATAGTCATTTACACGTTCTTTTTGACGAGAAAAAGGATAAACATATTGAACATTAACCATCGGTTCAAGTGACTATAGTGATTAACAATGTTAAGCCTAGGTAAAGAAAGAAAAGGAATAATGGACACATGTCCGTAGTCTTCAAAGATACTGAATACATCCTAATATCACTATACTTTGGTCACCACCGACAGCGTTCACAGTCACTATAAGAATGAATAATGAATAAATGATGAGAAATACAATCGATCTGGTTATTAAACCTCGTATACATTATACATGAGTTACTTGAGTTACTTGATTTACTTATAATCAAGGTTCCTTCGCAAAAAATTGAGCTGATGGCACATGGAGAATAACTCTCGTCCCTGAGTTAGCAAAGTTATTGAACATGTAGATCCACTTACAATTTCATCAACTAAACTACACGTAGATGACTTTGGAAATGGAGAAAGGAGTGAAAAAGACGAAGTTATTAATATGAAAATCAAACTTCTATTGGCATCACTAACATTAGGCAAGAGTCAATGTTTCCTCTGGATTACCACCTAGAGCCCAAAGCTTGCTTGACAAAGCTCAACTACCTTTCATGTGTGCTCAAAAAAGGTCTTAACTTGTTGGGTCATTGTGACTACATCCGTCCTCCATCTAGAAATTTTTGTAAGAATCTTTAGCCCTGTAGCCCTGTACGTCATGAACAGTGATTCTGGTGAATCACTGTTCATGACGTATTAGGATCTCAAAAATCAGTTTAATCCTAATCATGGACCGGGTTAGTCATGGTTTGGATTGAATTGGTTGATGATTTTCTCATGCGTGTGAAGATCTTTAAATCCTTATTTGTATTTCTATCCTATTATCTCTGTTGCCTCTCCTTATTATCACGACATCACAGTCATTTGTTTCCTTATATGATCTATCTCTTAGCACCTTGATTTAACAGGATATTTATATTATATATATAAATTCGTTCTGATTACTCAAGTGTTTCTGATGTCATTCATTCTTATATTTTACTCTCATTAGGCACTTTGCTTTTCCTACACACTCGTGTCAATAATATATTTAGTGAAAACTACTCGCGGTCTTCCAGTATGATCTACCGCGCCTTGTCCTTTTGTTGTAAACAATCTCCTGACGTTAAAGAGAATTATGAGACATAATTATATTCATCTTTGGCATTAGGATGACTCATTTTTATTGTGTGTCGAGTCTTTAGGTATCTACAAAAACAATGAGTGATTGTTTAAATTTCAAATAAAATCAGGGTACTGGATGGCCAACGCGGCAATTTGATGTATATAGATTATGCTTCCTACAGCGGGTTAGCCCATGCACTTCTTGGAGTCACCCAGGTTACACTCGCCTGGACACAAATTTTTTTGAGGAATCCTCCTCTGGTTTTTTTCCAATATATCTATTTGAGTCATTCTTGTGCACCTTGTGCATGGTTCAACATGAGATAATCAAATCAATGAGACCCTATGTTGCGGTTGCTCGCCTTGCGGAACCCATGGCGAGCAACTCAGCACTGTCAAATTCACTCCCAGACCCTTCCAGTGGCGCCAATGATTGTTTCTAAATACCTGGTTGCAGACCGTGTGATCTTCTAGTCTTCAGTCGCTGTACAGGGACATCAAAGGGACTGAAGATGTTGATTACCTATTTATATAAAAGTTGCAGCCTTTTTAATCAAATGTTTCTGCTCGCATACATTTGTGCATTTCCCTTGGTCCAAATTCACCTCCTTACAACTCAACTGTTTAAAATATAACTCTACCCTTGTTTTGATGACTGTGTATCCCATCTTTGCGAGCGGACTATTTGCTTTGGCCCGGAAAGTGCGTGTAATAATCATTTTCATCTTTTTAGATATCTGCTTGACTGACTCTTAAGTATACGATCACTCTCTTCAATCAACTTCTTCAACAGCTCCGCCCAACCGAGGTATTTTACCCTCTCCAGGAAGGCATTTCTGCTTTTCAAGCCTACTGCATGCTAAGCGGAAGTTCTGGCAATGACCCCCACGCTATGCCAGTGATTATGATATATACACATGGAACTCGCCCACCGCTTATTTTTGGTCACATATACCAGGCCAGCGGGCCATTCTCCAATGACGAGTGCTCCGGTCAAAACCTCTTCGCAGTTACTCCAAGCAGTGTAACTGATTTGGGTGCTACCATTGTTTCACCGGGTCAGTTCCTTAATGAACTGACCAACTCTGTGACAATCTCGTCCGTTGGATCGCCCCTACGTGCTCATGTCGAACAAGTCCTACCGCTTGGGGCTGAGGTGACCATCATCATGGCTGAACACAGTTTTTGGTTCACTCCGGTCAGTCTTTCAGCTCAAAGTTTACCTGTGATAGGCCTAATATTGGTTCATACCCGTGCAGCTTGGAAGATTTTTGGGAGGAACCATTACCTACAAAGGGACGCCAGGAGTTGGAGTGATGGAGGTGGATGAGATTGACAAACAGCCAGTCCAAACATTCCTTGCCGGGAATATCCAATAAGGGTACTCAAAGTAAGTATGTACGTGTACATACTTTTTGCTATATACTTTTTTTGGCGGGGAAGGCGAGGCCAAAAGTATATTTTTTTTCTTGTCCCCCGCCAAAAAAAGTTATGTAGCGAAAAGTATGTAGCGCTACATACTTTGCTTTGAGTACCCTTAATCTTGGGACTCGGAAACCCAGGATCTTGTTGTCCAGGTTAGTTGTAATAAGTGTCCCTGTCAAGTGCAAACAACAGCTAAAGCATACATTGTTTTTTATCTCGCAGGCTTCGATGATTACACAAATCCGCATTTGATTGCGGAGCTGAGATACACTCGTTACTGAAATCACATTCTTTTTAAATTTGTCCCTCTTGCACATGACATGATTCGAGTAGAACTGTTGGTTATATGTAGTGGTGAGCATGAACGGTACTTTTGAATCTACCATCTTGAGTACAAACGATTTTGGATTTCCTCCAAAGTGTTTTGAGGTCTGAGAGCAAAACCCATTGGAGGAAATGTGTTTTTACTCGTTGAAAAAGCTTGCCAAATTCATAATATACTTGTTGAGCAGAAAGAATATGGCACATTCAAAACGAATGGTGATCAAGTCTTATATTGATCATGCCGATGTCTCTTTGTGTGATTGTTTGTAACAATCAGTTCACGTAGCTTAACGAACCCATTGATTTTTGAGAAATGGAAGTATGTATTTGTGTTGTGCAGATATTATTTGCTTTGAATAATCGTGTGTGGTTGACGATTTTTCAGGGAGTTACCATGTCCCAAGGATGAATCTACCTGTGCTCAGCCATCAAGCAGGCAACAAGGGTTGCCAGTTCAAAGGCTGAGCAAAGTCTGGAGCAGTCGCATGTGTCCTAGACATGTCATCTGATATGTATATGATCGGGATGAGTCGAAGTTGCAATCTCCATCAATCTTTGTTGTTTGGAGAATGCGACTTTGAAATTGACCAAGGCCACCGTTACTGTCTGAGGACAAGCGCTGATAGATTGAATGTCAACCGTCACAATCAGTAGAGTCTTCAAACTCAATGGCCGAGCAAAGTGCAAAGACCTCGCACGGGGAAAGTACGTGTCAAATGAAATTTCCTTAATGGGACTGGTCGAAATGGCATTCTCGATCAGTCGTAGATGGGAAAAACGGCACTCAACACATTGCGCAAGTTGTGCTTGATTCATATGAGAGAGAGAACAGGTTTACAAGAGTTGAGAATGACAAAGGAAGCCTATGTACATGTTTTTAAAAGAAATCATGATTACGCTATGTACACATATCTACAGAAAAAAAGAAACGGAGTGAGGTGGGGCGTTTGTTCAAAAGGTCAAAAGAATGTGTATTCGGGGGTGGGGGTGGGTGCTTTTGGCGGGGCTGGGCGAGCTATGGTGGCTAAAAAGGTATTGAGATCGGCTAGCCCACCAGCGGTTTTCTCACCAGGAGTGGTAGTCGATTCCATTGCATGACACCATACCTGATCGTTCGAAGGGAGTTGAACTGGGATTTTGACAAGGGGTGGAAGTCCAAGTAGCTGGCAACCGAGTTTGCATCTGTGTTGAGTTATCATGAGCGCCACAGCAGAGGTTCGACCGTTTCGGCATCCCCAGACGTTCCTATTGTTCCAATAATCAGCATCAATCAAAGATTAGCGTGGGTCCCAAATTTTGAATGCAGGAGGTTTACGCTTACGCGGGGTTCACATCGTGTATCTGGGGGTTTGTGAGGACAGATCCGAACCCGCGGAAGTCAGTCACAAACCTATGACCCTTGCTATGTTGGTAGGTCCAGTGCATGAAAGCGTCCAGGATGTAATGCATGTTGGAAGGATTCTCGAGGAGAGGGAATCCAAAGAACATCGAAGAGCCAAATGACTCTAACGGTGAAGCAAGCAATTCTTCAGCGTGCATCACCTCAAGAGGCCCTTGAGGACCGTCCCAAGACTCGGAATCATCTGAATTATGGGTAATCCCAACAGGGAGT